CGCCGTGCTCCCTGCCGGGCCGCTCGCTACGCGGGCCGGGCCCCAGGGCTCCCCTCCCCCGCGCGCGTGGGCTCGGAGCGCTGCGGGACTGCGGTCGCTGGAGGCCGCTTAACGAGACCGAGGCCGGGCCGGTGCGCTCTGGCGGCGCGGGTGAGCGAGACCGGGGCCCGCCGCTTTCTCCTTTCCCCTCCCAGCCGTGGCTGCGGGGCGGACCATCTTTAGACCGTGGGCACCGGCGCAGTGGAGGGATCTGAATTTGGACATTGGAGACCCGGGGAGCGCAGAGCAGCCCCCACCCAAAATCGCAGCACGTTGCGGTTTCCAGGGCAGTGCGGGTGGCTTCTCTCGGGCGCATGCGGGGTGGTGTGTTGGGCGCTTGTGGGGTGTGCTGGGGCGTTCGCTGGCCTGACGCCCTCCTCCCCTTCTTCCTCTCTGTCCCTTCCAGAACCCTCTTATGCAAGGGGTAGTGCTGAAACCTCCATTTTCTTTCAGATCCCTGCTCTCCACCCACAGAGTAGGGGAAACGACTTTAAGACGCTCTTCGGTCCTGCCCCTCTTTAAAGTCAGAGCTATAATCATCCCCAAGAGCCGCGCTCCTCAGAAGTTTAGCCGGGGCTGTTCACACTGGCCGCCGCGCTTAGCTAATGGTGAACCTGCCTTGTGGTTTTAAATCAGCCATGACATCAGGCGGGATTGGGTGCCTGAGCTGGCATTCTGTGTAAGGCCAGGGGCCCTGGGTAGCTTGCGTCACTGGGGTTATTGATCGTGGGAAGACAGCTTGGCTGGCATCTCCACTTTCCCTCAGTGGATAACGCCTGACTTGCTCCAAGTGCCCAAAGCAAAAATTCTAGGTAGGGTAGATTTGTTCTGTTCCTGTTTTTCTGGAATCTTAAGGCAAGAGAGAGACCAGGAGTTGTTTAGACTCTTTGGACAGTCTTTGGCAGACTACCTGTCCTAATCCAGGAGCTTTGGGTTTAAGCCGGTTGTTGAGGCCTGGGTGCCTTTTCAGAGTGAATTCTGTGATTGGGTTGTCCCTCTGGTAAGGTTAGGTGGTGGCCTTATCTCAAGGCAACATGGATCTCTAGGCCCTTTTCCAGCCCTGGTTTTATTTGCAGCCTGGACAAATTTAAATGTGACACCATTGGAGTGTGTGGTCTTGGGATTTCTGTGTTCTGTGATGCATATGTTTTTGGGAGTCTGCAGCAGTGAGTGCCTCATAAGCAAGCTTAGAGCTTTCCAAAGCTTGCTGCAAGTGCCTATTTTTAGCCCTCCTTTTGGCTCAGATGCTAGTGTTTTAGTTCTTAAGGGACACAAGCAGTGACGAGTAATAAAATATGTTTTATGATCTCTGTCCTTTCTTGTGGAGTTCTCTATTCTAGTTTAAGCTTCCAAATCCTAGGATTGTACTATTTTTTTTGGGGGGGGGCAGGGTGTGTGTGTGTGTGTGTGTGTGTGTGTGAGAGAGAGAGAGAGAGAGAGAGGCTGTGTAGCCCAGTCTGGCCTCAAATACAGGTGGTCTCCCAGAGATTACCAGTGTTGTACCACTGTGTCTGGCTTTAGGGTTACCGTTTTAAGTCTTGATTTGCATTTTTGTTTTTGGACAGCTTCCCCAAAGTAGTAGTTTGTGTCCTTATTCCAGCCACACTCCTGGGATCTACAGCACCTGAGTGAAGAGGGATGGGAGAAGCCTGGGTGTTGGGCTTACTGCACAGGTTCAAGTGCTAGGTCTACCACCTCTTAGCAATGCGCCGCAGTCACCTGACCACAGTGTGCATCACCTTCCCTGTTTGTATAATAGGCACCAGTTAGTTTAGGATGCACCTGTCCGGTGGGGTCATGGCGAGCACTCACTTTGAGACTGATTAGTCCTGTGAGATTGATTAGTCCCCTGGGGGCCTGTGTTGGGGCCTGTGTTAGTGTGTGTGGCAGACTGTAGGACCCCAGGAACTTTTCTCTAGGTCTCTGTTCTTTGCTGTTAGAAGGGGGCAAGAATGCATTCCAGTGTAGTCTCAGTCCCACATGATATAAGGACCTTTAAAATTGACCTTTAGAAGCCACGTGGCACATTGCCTTTAATTCCAGGATAGAGGCAGAGCCAGGTGGATGTCTGTGAGTTCAAGGCCAGGCTGGTCTACACAGTAAGTTTCAGGCCAGCTGGGGCTACAGGGAGACCCTGTCTCAAAAAGACCCCCCCAAAAAAAATGGTTTTTGACTTTTATTCTGGGCATGGTGGTTTACGCTTGCAGTCTAGCCTAGGAAGGTGGCTGTCAAAGGGTTGCCACAAGTCGAAGACCAGCCTGTGCTACTTTACTGAGCCTGTCTCAAAAAAAAGGGTAGATTTACTCTTGGCCCTGTGAATTGGTGCACATTTATAATAAAAAACAAAACAAAACTTTGGTTATCCACAGATGAGAACAATATTATGGGCAATCTTAATTTTTTTTCCGTTCATTGTATGTGTGTTTTTATGTGCGAGTGAAAGCATGTGATGATCAGAGGACAACCTGCAAGAGTTTGTTCTCCTTTCACAGTGTGTCCAGGGGACCCGGCCCAGCTTGCAGGCTCAAGTGCAGTACTTGACAGTCTTAAACAAGGTTTTTGATCAACAAATTTTTATTTTACGTGTATGAGCATTTTGCCTGCGTGTGTATGTGTAAGCGCACCATGTGTGTACAGTGCCCTCAGGCCTGAAAAGGGTGTTGGATCCCCTGGAACTTGAGTTAAGGAGGGTTGTCAGCCGCCATCTGGGTGCTGGGAACTGAACTGGGTCTGCAGGCTAGACCATCTCTCCAGCCCCAGTATTGACAGTCTTAAAGGTTGGTGATAACCAAAGAACTGAAATGTGGTATGATGGGGATTCCCCCTACACCTCAGCCTCCTGAAGCCTGGGGGATACAGGCTTGCCATCATTCCCAACAGTGATGAGGTGGGTTTTTTTGTTTTTTTGTGTTTTTTTTTTCCAATATTTTAAAATTATTTTAAATTTTATTTTATGTGTATGCATGTATTGCCTGCATGTAGGTAAGTGTACCCGTGTGGTGCAATGCCCGAGGAGGACAGAAGAGGCTATTGGGTCCCCTGGGACTGGAGTTATGGACAGTTGTTAGCTGCCATGTGGGTGCTGGGATTCTAATCCAGGTCTTCTGCAAGAACAACCAGTGTTCTTAACTGCTGACCCATCTCTCCAGCCCCAATGATGAAGTTTTTTTTGTTTTTGTTTTTGTTTTTGGTCTTTTTTGAGACAGGGTCTCCCTGTAGCCCCAGCTGACTTGGAACTTGCTACGTAGACCAGGCTGGCCTTGAACTCACAAGGGTCCGCTGGCCTCTGCCTCCCAAGTGCTGGAATTAAAGGCATGCGCCACCATGCCCGGCCATGATGAAGTTTTTTTAAAAGGGCATTTTATTTATTTTTATTTTATTGTGTGTTTTGCCTGAGCGTGCTGCTTGAAGTGCCTGTAGAGAGAGGCCAGAAAAGGGTGTTGAATTCCATGGAACAGGTGGTTTTTCACCATCATGTGTGTGCTAGGAATCGAACCCAGGTCCCCTGGAAGAATTTTAGCACAGTCAGTTCTTCAGCCCTGCCCTGATGAGTTTTTAAAACAAATTTTAGCCAGGTGTAGCTGAATCCCAGCACTCTGGAGGCAGAGGCAGGCGGATCTCTGTTCGAGGCCACCCTGGTCTGCAGTGAGTTCCAGGCCAGCTGGGGCTACAGGGAGACCCTGTCTCAAAAAGACCGGAAAAAAAAAAAAAAAAAAAAAAACCAAATTTCAGGGTTTCACTCTTAGAGCCTAGTATAACCTCTGTATGGCCCAGGTTGACCTTTGAACTCATGGCAGGCCTCCTGCCTCTGCCTTCTAGTATTAGAATTACAGGAATGAGCTACCATGCTTTAAGTTTTGTTGGTTTGCCTTCTGAAAGACCCTCAGGGGAGTTCACAGGTGCCCGCAGTGGGTCTCCCCATGTAGCAGCCTTACTGATGGCTTTGTTGTGTGTCTGCTTCTAGCTGTTGTGTGGAGAAAAGATGACCCTGAGCTGGAGTCAGGTCCGACATTCCAGAGCTTTATTTGTTTGTGTCCATTTGAAGTATAGCTAACCAGTAATCCAGCTGACCAAAGTACCTGGGGATCCTCTGCCACACAAGCTGAGCCCAGATAAACCGCCACCCTCTGCTCCTCTTTGGAGCCTGGGCCCTTTCTTACCCTACCCTGTGCTGGCTGAGCATGACTGGGGCTATACCCCTTCTAGTACAGGAAGTAGCCTGGCTGGGGGAGTTGTAGCTCTGCGGTCAGAGGGTTTGTGATCGCGTCCTAGCTCCCTTTCTGAGCTCTGGGCAGTCTTGGGGTACATTGCTCAGCTTCTCAGAACCACTATTTGTTAGCCTAGTCCTAGAGCAGAACGTGTTGCTTTTGGAGTGAGCATTGAGAGTGGTGAATGTTCCCAAAGGCATTGCGTAGTGCCAAGTACAAAAGGGCCTTAGGTGCTGCCTGTTGTAAATACTGGTTTTTTTTTTAAAATTGTGGGGTCAGTGAGGTGGCTCAGCAGGTAAAGGCACTTGCCACCAACGCTCATGACCTGAGTTTGATCCCCAGGACCCACATCTTGGAAGAAGAGAACTGACTCCTACAAGTTATCCTCTGATGTCCACAGGCACTGTGGCTTGTGTGCACCCCCACACATACACATAGACAAATGAATGTATGTATGTATATGATTATCATCATGCGCTAATTGCACTTCTGATCCTGCTCCCAGCCAGCAGGCAGTAACACCCCATGTTTTTTCTGCCTTTGTTTCTTGTCTGTAAAGTGAGAGAATTGCATTAGGCTTACATGCTTTTAAGGTTCAGTGTCCGAGTACCCACAGCTCCTGCCAAAGTGAATCTGAACTTTCTGAGCACATGTCCTTGAATCTGCTTTTTGGGGGGGTGGCGGGGGCTGTTGACTCTGCTGTGCTCTCTGAGGACTGGAGAGACTCCTGGGAGGGTGTGTACAGAGCACAAGGACTTACTGAGTGTTCGTGGGAGAACCCACTGTCTATGGTTTATAGCTGACTGTGGTTTATAGGGGAAATGGGTAGGAACACATCAATTGACCTTGACAGTTCCTCTTACCCTCTCTCCCCCACCTTCCTCCATCCCTTATTTTGAGATGGCCTGATAGCTCTGGTAAGGATGACCTCCATCTCCCAAGAGCAGTGTTAAACATATGCAGTGGTCCAATTCCTAAGTGTAGGAAATTCTGTAAAACAATTTTTTTTTTTTTTTTTTTTTTGCCTTTTTGAGACAGGGTCTCCCTGTAGCCCCAGCTGGCCTGGATTCTCTATGGAGACCAGGCATTTATGATATCTTTTTCTATTATTATTGTAACATTAATGTTTCGGGGTCTTTTTGAGACAGGGTCACCCCATAGCCCCAGCTGGCCTGGAACTAGCTATGTAGACCAGGCTAGCCTCAAACTCAACAGCAATCCACCTGCCTCCCGAGTGCTGGGATTAAAGGTGTGCGCCACCAAACATTTTTTTATCAATAAAGAAATGGACTTTGAGAAGAGGGTTTTTAGAAATGAAATGTGATGGTGTGTTCTTTGGATCTTGTCTGCACTGTCATTTGAACAAACTGGACCATGAGAAGATGCTCTGAAGCCGGTATGGTGGTTCACATCTGTGCTCCCATCACAGGGAGACTGAGGCAGGAAAGGTTCTAAGTCAGCCTGGGCTACATAGGTAAGTCTCAAGCAGACAAACCCAAACGAGTCCTTTCGGTGACAAGCTAGGAAATTTAACCTTTTAGGTTATATTAAGACGCTACCCTGGTTTGTCAAGGGCATGACGTGGTCATTCACTTGTTTTGAGTTCTCTGGTTTTTGTACCTGAGAACTGCTGGTTTAGTATAAGTCAGTGAGGCTTAAGGTTTTTCCCTCGTCAGTCATCCCTCCTCCTCTGGGGAGGGAACAGCCTTCTAACTCAGCCTTTCTTTTCTAACTGGGAAAGGAGGGAGGGAAGGGGATTAGAGGGTAGCTTGATCACAAGCCCACTTGAACTCTGAACCCCCTAGGGGTAGAGTCCCTCTGCTGCTCCTCTCCCCCCCATCTGCAGTAGGTCCCAAGTGGAGTCAGCATTTTGTGGTCACTCAGTACTCAGCTTTTCCTGGGAAGTTGGCGTGAAGAGGGTTCCAGCCACAAAGCCCTCTCAAGGATGGAGAGCCTGGCAGTCAGGGGTGCCCCTCTTCGCCAAGTCCAAGAGGAGCTCAGGAGGGTCATTGGGTTTGGTGGCCTGGGAGGGCTTCAGTCAGAGGCTCACTCCTCCCTGGCTCGCCCAAGGGTGATCCCAGGGAAGTGGCCAGGGGAGAGGGTGATGACTTCTGGAGTTCAAGTTTGTTCATTTGTTTGTTTTGGTCTTTTTGAGACAGGGTCTCCCTGTAGCCCCAGCTGTCCTGGAACTCACTGTGTAGACCAGGCTGGCCCTGAACTCACAGAGATCCTCCTGCCTCTGCCTCCCTAAAGGCGTGCGCCACCATGCCCGGCTGTTTGTTTGTTTTTTAAAGTAATTCTTTACTGATAAACATTTATACTAGTATTAGAAATGTCAGAAAAATAAAATTTAAATAATTTTCTTTTGTGCAAAGATTTGATCCGTTTTGACGATAGCAGTCAGTGAAGTGACCTAATATAAAAAGTTTAGCTGGCTTTGGTCACAGCCAGCCTTACCTAGTGCACAAAAAGTACATGTTCAAAAGCCCTTCCATAAGTGGACCGCTACAGTATCAGGCTTCACATTCAGGAAGCAGTTCCTTAGGGAAGGTTGGTGCCCTGCGGTGTCACAGAACGTAATGCAAACCAGAGCAGTTAGAAAGTCTGAATGAGGAAACAACCTAAAGGACAAAGGAATGACTTCATTATTTACGTGAGTTGTTTAAACATTCCTTAAGTGGCATCTTGCTGCAAAAAAGGTAAAGGACATAGTCACATCTTTCTCAGGTAACAATCATTACACTTCATCTTAATTTTCACCCTGAAATCCTAGTAAAGAATCGAGAGATCACTTTTATGGTTGGGGGCTGATTTCCTCTCCCACAATTTTAAAAAAAAAAAAGGAAGGAGGGGGAGGTGGAAAGTTGGGATTCGGGGTTGTCTGTCTCTGAAGAAAGGTGGCTGTGGTAACAACTGTCAAAGAAACTACGAAAGGTAAAATGTCCAACACAACCATTCACAGCACATCTGTATCTGAGGTGAGAGACAGAAGGAACGAAGCAGAGTATTCTTTATCATCCAAGTGTTTTCTCCCTGGAAATAGTTCAGCTACCCAGCTCCGACTGTGGAGTCCATATATACTTACTCACAGAAGATGGCTTCACATACTGGGATGGATGCAACATTCCATCATTTGAAGATACATTTTGTAGTTGAGGGTTTTGTTTTTTGTTTTTTTGTCTTTTTGAGACGGGGTCTCCATGAAGCCTGAGCTGTCCTGGAACTCGCTATGTAGACCAGGCTGGCCTTGAACTCACAGAGCTCCACCTGCCTCTGCCTCCTGAGTGCTGGGATTAAAGGTGCGCGCCACCACGCCCGGCTGAGGTCTTTTTTTGAAAGAGCAGATGAAACATAGGAAAGAAAACCCCCTGCTTTGTGTCTCAGTTCTGAAATAACCTGACATTGCAGTCACAGATGAGTATGCTCAAAAATTCCTATTTAGTAGGAACTTCGAAAAGCCCACCAACTATTCACCTGTGTGCCTAGTGACAGTATACGGAAACGGTTGTTTCAGTGAGACCTCGTGTAAGAGGCAGCTTTCAGAACACATGGCCCAGATCATATCCCAGAGTGCAGGATACAGGGCTCCAAATTTCTCAAACTGAAGGGGTATTTTCCAAATTCATAGCACCTTAAACAGAAAACTGAAGTCTTTAAAACAAATTGTTGGGAGAAAGATTTGAGCTTCTCGCTGGGGAATTTGAAGAGACGTTAACCTACACTTTCGTTGTCTTCAATTCTGGTACGTCACTATAACTTTGACAAGTGGTCTAATTAGTCAAAGGAATAGACCAGTTATTTTTTTGTAACCCCTCTGTAATTTTTTTCTATGACATTCCTGGGCAAATTGGTTCTTTGCACTGTTTAAAAAATTTTTATTACATTCAGAGTGTGTGTGTGTGTGTGTGTGTGTGTGTATGTATGTATGTGTGTGTTTGCTTACACGTACAGGTCAGAGGACAACTTGTAGGAGTTGGTTCTATCCTTCCACAATGTGGGTCCTAGGTATTGAACTCAGGTTGTCTTGTCTTGGTGGCCAGTGCCTTTATCTGCTGCTCCATATTGACAACCCCTCTTGGCTATTTTTAACCAGAAGCCGTAGAGCATATTAGATGAATTCATGTCTTCACAGCTTGTCAGCCTGAATCTCACAATGAAAACTCTCCTTTAAAAATTTCAGTTAATGGGCTGGGTGAGGTGGCACGCTCCTTTAATCCCAGCCCTGGTGGCAGAGGCAGGTGGATCTCTGAGATTGAGGACAGACAGCCTGGTCTACATAGCAAGTTCCAGACCAGCTAGGGCTAGAGGAAGACTCTTAAAAACAAAACAAAGCAGTGTCAGAGCTAATCACCAGAAACTACTGTGAAAAAAGGTCACAACAGGTAACACACAAGAGCCCTGGATTTGAGACAAACCTTTGACTGACTTAACTGACCCTTTCATTTCAGTGCTTTCCTTTAAAGGTCATAGTTTTCGGGCAGTGAAATAAAAATTAAAATAGCTCAAATTAAGTTTAAAAATTGGTATCTCTCTTTTTTTTCTTGGTATCTCTCTTTAAGAATATAAATTCTCTTGACTAAAAGTAAAAAGGGGGGCGTGGGGTAGATCTGAAAAGGAAGTTTTAGGCACTTCATGGGCGTTGATACTCAAAGCCTGCAAAGGTAGGCTGAGGAGCCACCACCAGCTAAACACAAGGATCAAGAACCACTAACCCTGGTTACAGCTGCATGCTCTAATTTTCTGAGTTATTAATAAGCCAGTCACTAAGGAAAAATAAAACAGAATCTTTATTTGTGTCTGAATGTCCAAAGAGTATCCTGTCATCTGGCCTCAACTTTCATCCCAAGCTACTTAATACTGTGTCTTTCCAGTGAAAGTAAACATAAATAATAGGATTAAAATGAGAGGGAAAGGTGGCATAGAAATTCTTTGGAAAAAGAGCCTCAACTAGGCATAACAGTCCCAGCCACTCAGTGCATGGCAGGAGGCTCGCTTGGACCCAGAAGTTTAAGGCTGGCCTGGGCAACAGAGCAAGATCCCATGTCTTTTTTTTTAAGTCTTAATTAGCTTATTTTGATCAAATTACAAAACAATAAATTCACATTTCTTAAAATATATTAAATAGTCAGAGGTCAAGACAGTTATCCATAAAACGTCACGTTCTCAGAAGTTGCTACTCCTCACGCTGGAGCAGAGCTGCTACTTACAACTTTACTCCGGCTCCTTTTCCTGCTCTATCTAGCTCAGCTGTTCTCAGAGCTGTGCTCAACCAAACCCATCATGGCTTCACTGTTAGGAAGACTTAGTGAGGAAGTGTCTGCTAACTTCCAGTCGAGAAGAGATTAATTTAAGCTTTGAGTACAGCAGTCTGCTCTCTTCAAGGCAGCCAGCATTTTCTCTTGTTTCTCTGAAACTGCATCTTCTCAAAGAAATTCTAGTGTGAGGAATGCTAACCTAGAAGCATGTGGGCTTGGCTTGGGTGAAGATGTGTGTGCAAAACGTCTCAAATAACCACAAAAAAGAAAGCCAAGAGTTTTGGTTGAGTGATGGGTCCGCAGAGGTCTTCGACTGCTGACGCTTCAAGTGGAAGAAGGGCTGTGGTGACGGTCTTCACACTCCTGTTCATCCACGCTGCTTCCATCTGAGGACTTCAGAAACCTGTGCACGCCTTTGGAGAAGTCTTTAAACAGGCGTGACATCACAGCGTAAGGGTGTGTGCTATGGAGTAGCTAAAGCCCGAAAGAAGGGGACCACCATGACACAGATCGTCTGTCCGGTGCCCAAGGTGAGGGCTTCAAAGGGCACCATCTCCTTTCCTGCGGTTCCCGCAAGTGCCGCACCGTATTTGTGATGTCTGAGGGTGAAGAGGGCCAGTAATCCAGCAGGGTCATGAAAGAAGACAGAAGACACCAGTGCCCACAGGAACATACCATACCACATGTCTGGGAAGGAGCAGAGCAAAGTGGACTTGGGGCCCAGGGTCCCGTTGACCACCCGGGGCACAAGCTTCAGGCTGAGGACCTGCTGCAGGAGCCCGGCCACCCCGCTCCATCCCGCTGCAGGGAGTACAGGGCCCGTCTGGCCCACTTCTCCTGGAGTTCAAGTTTTGATGCCAGCTAATGAGGACAGCTGGTTGGAGAGAAAAGCCAAAGAAATCTCAGAGCCTGGTGGAGCGTTCCTGCCCTTGCCCTGTCTGTGTCTTCCCCAGCTTGCCTGGCTCTGTCTTCCTCTTGAGTTAGCATTAGGTGGTACCACCAAGGTTCTGAGGGGGCACAGCCAAAAGATGCTCCAAAGCCAGATTTGTGTCGATTTCTTGTCTTGAGGGTGTATGTGTGGGGTGGGTTATCCATGCCTTTCCTAGATGGGGGCAGGTAGCCAGGAGTTAGGTGAGTTTTCAAGATAGTTAATGTCCTGTGGCAGGTAGCCTGGGGTCTATCCCTGAGAGGATTTCCAGGTATTAAAGGGACAGTCTGGGTGTGACACGTTTGATTGGCCTAATCTTTGCACAGGTGAACTCTGGGTGTGAGGAAGCTGGCAGGTGCTGAGGGTCCTCTCCATCTTCGTCTGAGGTACCATGTGCAGACCCAGCTAACCTTCCATCAGAGATGCACCCCCCTCCACCCACATCCCCCACCCCCGCTGCCAGGAGGTACTTGGGCTGTGGCTTTGCTCCCAGGCCTTCTCCGCCCTGCTTCCCCAGGAAGAACAGATTCAGATTAAGCCTCAAATGAGAGGCTATCCTGCTGCAGATCTTGTCCTTGTCCCGGCACATCTAACCTACCCTGCACAACCTTCTGCTTTTTAAAGATTGCTTCCAGGTCTAGATGCTGCCTTCTGCCCTGTCTGTCACCTGACTAAACCAGCTATCACTTCTCACAGAGGCTGTCCCGGCAGTCTGTGTCCTGTGTCTCCTGTCCCTCCTGCTTAGAACCTTCTGGTGGCTTCTCAGAACAGAGCCTAGTCTGGGTCCTTAGGTGTCCTCCTGGACTCTGAGCCTGGACCCCTTGCCCGTTGTGTGTACTTCCTCACCCCCAGCTGGGCCATGGGTCCTGCATCTGCTGCAGTGTGTCCAGTGCTTTGCTTTGGGGTCTGGAATGGTCTTCTGGGATTGTGGTAATGGTGAGGCCTTCCCAGACCACCATGCACAGTCCAGCACCCTGGCCCTGGACTCCACCCAACCTCTCTGACCCTCTGTCCTTCGTAGCTGTGTGTCCACTGGATCGGGGTGTCCCCAGCCCCACAGCCTGGCGTGCTGTAGTGTGCAGGCAAGTGAACACACAGAATAACTTGGCAGAGGTGCTGTCTGCTGTCATTGTGCCGCTTGTGTGTTTGCTGTGCGAGGTGTTGCAGGTACTGCTCTGGGTAGGATCCATCCATTGGCAGACTGCGTGTGTGCAGTTGAGTGTGTGAGAGAGGTCTGCTGGGAAGGGTAGTATGGGGTTCTCTGGGGGCCCAGCACGGACGCCCAGTTCACAAGCTCAGAGTTGCTGGGGAACCGTGCTAATCTGACACGGGAGGGGTGGGGTTGCTGAGAAAAGGCTGCAAGGGCACCATCTCCTTTCCTGCGGTTCTTGGTTGAGATTGGAGTGGGGGTCAGGGGACTTAGAACTCCCTGTGGGTGGAATGAAGCCAGTTGGAAAGGTGGGCAGACTTGTCTTATGGGGCATCCCAAGTCCCAATGTCAGCAGGAAGTGGGACACCATGGGGCATTTTGATCTTTCATTTTGAAAGATGACCTTGGGCAGACATACCCTTTTATGCTAAGAATGAATAGTTTGGGGTTTCATTTCTGATCGTTTGGGGCAGAGCTCACCTACAAAGGGAGCGGGCTTCTCTGTTGTTCCCCAGATGTAGCTCTTGGGGCAGTGATAGCGGTCAGTGGAGGTGGGGGAGGGAGGGTAGGGTTGTGACTGTCGTGGCTCTGCAGAGGGCAGCGTAACTGGACTGCGTCTTGGTTGGTTTCTGGAAGCATAGATATGTAGTGGACGGCTTGCTTGCCCCTGCTGCTCCTGGGAAGAGGAGGAACCCTGCAGGTAGTGGTGGGGAGCAGGCTTCCAGTCTGTACTCCTGGGCTCCATCAGGAAAGCCCCACAGGCCACACTGCTCCTCCCCAGCACTCTGCCCTGGTCTCCTCCAACCAGATACACGAGTCCGACCTTCCAGAGCCACCCCGCTGAACCCCACTGAATGAACACCCATGTTCAGGAAATAAGAGGTTTGCGTTGTCCCAGACAGGCTGTGCCTTCCTGAGACACTTGGCCTGGGAAAGCTTCCCAGCCCAGGCTAGAGCTGTTAGTGTGGCTGTGCTCTGAGTGTGTGGAGGCGGGTTGGGGGCGGTGCTTTCCTTGTCCTTTAAGAGAGAGTAAGGTGTTTAGAACTGGAGGGTGGTGGAGATCTTTGAGTGCGAACCCCTCCTGTACAGCTTAGGGTGTTTTTGACCAGGAAGGAAGAGAATCTGCCTCGCCGTGGCCAGAGGACACCAGCAGAAGGCAAAGGAGGAAATGGTTGTTACTTCGGCTCTCAGTTTCAGAGGGTTTAGTCAGAGGTGGCTGGAGACAAGGATGAGCATAAGTCAACAGGGATGTGTACAGGAGCGGCTATTGCCCTGGTGGGCAGGAAGCAGAAGCAGAGGAGGAGGAAGGGACTGGGCACATCCAGGCACCTGCTTCATCAGCTCGGTCCCCTCCTAAGAAGTTCCTGGGATCTTGTAAAATTGTGCCACCAGGCTGGGTGGTGGCATCCCAGCATCCCAGAGACTGAGGCAGGCGGATCTCTGTGAGTTCACAGTCTACGTAGTGAGTTCCAAGCCAGCCCCACTACAGGGAGACCCTGTCTCAAAAAGACCTAAAAGAAAAACTGTGCCACCAGCTAGAGACCAAGCCTTTGACCTGGGAGCCTGTGGGGGACGTCCGTATTCAAACCATGGCGCCCACCTACCTTGGTGAAGGTGAGCTAGGTGAGGGCTTCTAAGTGTTCTGCTGGAGCCTGGCTCAGTACCTGCTAGTCAAGACTGGGCCTCTATTCTTGTGACCTTGAACTTGGCCTTTCAGTTTGCTTAACCAGGATGTGTGGAGTGAGGCTTGTCTAGTCTGTCTGTCCCTTGATCCCTGCAGTTCAGATCTGCGCATAGCACAGGCAGCCACTCCTGTCACATCCTAGAGCCTCTTCTGACCTTGCCCTTTGCTGACCTGTTGTGGAGATGAACTTAAGGACCTTGAAAGAGCCATAACCCTAGCAGTGAGAAGTCCAAGTTGTGTGCACGTGTGTGTGGGCGTCAGAGGGACAAATTGCAGGAGTTGGTTCCCTCCTATGTGTGTCCAGGGATTGAGCTCATTACCTGCTGAGCCATCAAATGTTTTTTTTTTCGTTGTTGTTTTTCAATGTGTATGAGTGTATTGCCTGCGTGTATGGAAGTGCACCCATGTTGTGCAGTGCTTGCAGAGGTCAGAAGGCGTCAGATTCCCTGGAACTGGAGATATGGACAGTTGTTAGCCAGCATGTGGTTGCTGGAAATCGAACCCAGGTCCTCTGCAACAGCAGCCAGTGCTCTTAACTACTGAGCATCTCTCCAGTGCCCGCCCCCATTCCATTTTTAAAATTTTTACGTGTACGAGTGTTTTGCCTGCATGTAAGTGCGTCATGTTTGCAGCACCCACAGAGGACAGAAAAGGACGTCGGGTCCCCAGAACTGGAGTTACAAACAGTTGATAGCCCTGCCGTGTGCATGCTGGGAACTGAACCCAGTCCTCTGCAGGAGCAGCCTTTCTAGCCCCTTTGGGGCCCTTGAGAATGCCCTCTTGTAGAGTGTAGAGTGGGAGGTGAGCGTGGGTCTTTGTGGGAAAATGTTCACTCAGTGTTTGGTGTCTTTCCACAGCTTCGGGATTGTCAGGGGAGCAGAGGTCACTGCTCTTATGTGTGTGAGGCCGTGTGGTGTGGGAAGAATGGCCTTGTTTTGGATCCAAGTCCTGAAATACAGCATCTCAGTGAGCTCATCCTTAAGTTTTGGTGCAGGTGTGGGGGGAGCATTGGTGGGCTTTTGCTCTGGTGAGATGGTGACTTTGAACATGTCCAAGTGAGCGTAGGAGATGCCGAGTTCCTTGCAAGGAAACATTTGACTAGATTGGATGGGGGTTTCCGGAGAGCCCTGAGCCACAGGGCTGGCACAATACCTCTGGATTAGTTGATTGAGAAATTTTTTGTTAGTTTCTGTTAGGTCTAAGTCAGGCCCCACAGTTCAGCAATACTCAAGATGTATTACTGCCGTGGTGAGGCTTTGTTCCAAAAGGCAAAAGTCACAGAGGACCAGGTGTGGTGGTATACTCCTGTAACCCTAGCCAGTACCCCCAGGATGAAACTGAAGGACTGCCTTGAGTTGAGGCCTGCCTGAGCTCCATACCCAGACCCCGTCTCAACCAAAACCAGAAAAGTCCCCAAGTGAGCTGGAGAGATGGCTCAGTGGTTAATGCTGAATCACTCTTATGGAGGACCAGAGTTCAGTTCCAGCACTGTATCAGGTGGCTCGTAACTGCCCTTAACTCCAGATTCAGGAGATTTGATGCCCTCTTCTGATGTCCATGGGCACTCGCACACATGGTACATGTGCACACACACACAAATAAAGATCTGTTTGTCGTTTATTTTTTTGAGACAGAGTCTCCCCGTAGCCCCAGCTGGCCCGGAACTCACTGTGTAGGCCAGGCTGGCCTTGAACTCACAGAGACCCCCTGCCTCTGCCCCCTGAGTGCTGGGACTAATGGTGTGCAGCACCACACCTGGCTCTTAAGAACATTTTTAAATGAACCATCCATGTTTTAAAATTAGGAAAATTATCTAGAAGCCTAGGGGTTTCCAGCTTTGCTTAAAAAAAAAAAAACAAAAGGACAATGTACGCACGGCGTCCCTGAGTTTCATGGGTTTCTGGACGAGGAACACAGTCTCGG